TGCCATACATGGTAGCCCTGGTTTTCCATTTTTGATCTTCAGCTTATGTATAATTCTTTGTATCAGGACAATTTTATCTTATTCTAAGCCACTAAACTTCACATTCTTGGTAGTGCTGAAAAAGACTAGACGCTCTAGGGCCGGAACTCTTTGGAACTGTGAGATCTGCACACCGTGTCTCCTAACACATTGGTAAGTGTTTATGAATATGTAAATTGGGATTTAAAAAATCCAGGGCATTAGGTTAAGTAAACAGTCATTGGCTCAGAATAACTGATGTTAAACCAATAATAGTGTGTTAAAAAATGTTAATTTGAGGCCCAACTTCATTTATTATTCTGGTGTAAGTGACTAAATTGCACAGTATTATTGTTGCAATGACTATTCATTTCATTCCTTTGGTACCTGGCATTTGAGCATTTTATGAATCTGAGCATGCTGGTCTATTCTGCCTGGGAGTGAAGTTTCACAAGGTAGTTTGAATGACAAACATCTTAGAGCTTGCTCACATTCCTTGGTGGAATAGTCACTTCTGAGAGAAAGAGGTGTGGCTTCGCGGTCTGGGAAAAGGACTGCTGGCCAGGAACATGGAGTTCTTCTGGAACTAGTTCTGTTTTCTTTATGGATCCGCCAATGCTAATGAATATATCTAGGACTCAGTTTACCGAGTTTAACAAGCTGGTTAGGGAAATCTAATTAACTGGGATGTATTGAGTAATCATGAATGAATATCTGTTAAATGATTTGAAATGAAAAGTGGTGTGCATGCAATTGAGTTGTTATTTGTATAACTGATTCATTTTATGAAACAAGTAATAGAAGTTTTATTTTTGGGGAAAATTACTCTAAAACAAGAAAATTTATTTTAATATTTAAATAGTTTTTCTAAATATTTTTACTTCTGTGGGTTTTTTTCAAGTTAATAAGCTAAATGTTCTATATGATGCACATAACTAAATTCATGATTAGCTTCCATTTAAAGATAAAAAGGTGGTCTCTTTGTTCTATATAATACAGGTAAATCTTTTCTGAGGTCCCATGCACTGAAACAATGTAGACATTATTAACCTTAATGTTCTACAGAAAAAAAATTAGGATCAAAGAAATGTATAGTCAGTCTAGAGCTTGAGCAGGGTGGTAAAATGAACTGCCTGTTTTAAAGTGATAAAGACTTCCAAGAATTAGATGTAGGTTCCAGAAAGAGAAAATTGTGCATACGTGCCCAAACAAAATGGGGGTAGGGATGAGGAGAGAACTAATGATTGAGTTATTGTGATGTTCTATATCTGAAAGAATAAAGTTAAAAAAAATCAACCTCAAATGCAAATGTTCCATTCTGGTGGTATTGCTGGTCAGTGTTTTCCTATCCCAAAGCCAGGCCCCCCAAATTAATCAATCTCATATGTGGGTAAAAAAAAAAAAATCCCTAAAAATACATTGTGATTCTCTACACTAGGAAGCTTTAAATTTCCTATCTTTTCCCACTTAAAAAAAAAAATGAAAACAAAACAATGGATCTTCAATTCTGTGTCTGGGATCTCAAACTTGGCTCTGAATATGTGTTTCAACTCTCATTAATTACAATATTGGTCCCAGGAGATACAGTTGCTGATGCAAAGAACACTCTTTGTACTCAAAATAATTTGAACAAGGGCAAAGAAGCATTTTATTTACATGTGTAAACATTTAGAGGAAAATAAAACAGAGATGGTACAGGTAGCTGCTGAGCTGTTTTAATGATAATTGATTTGATTACTTAAGCTTTAAGGTTACTATATATAGGATACATATACATATAAAAGTCATGTTTTCACTTTGTATATTTGTCAGATGAGAACATTCTTGTAAAGGTAACTCTGACATTAACTTGGCAAGTTCTGAACTAAGACCTTTTAGCATTTTATTCTTTCCAGAGACTAAGACCAAATTGTTCTAAATTCCATACCCTACTGTGCAGATCTATAATTTATTTATTTTTTAAACATCGGAACATGTGCCATTACCCACAGGACTTTTACATGTAACAAATCTGGGTAAAGACCAATCAAACGAATAAATTACAGCAGTAGACAGCAAATAACTTCTCCTGTTTTCTTTCTTCATTTTCCTTTCTCTATAGGAAAATAGGAAATTAAACTATGGCTATTCGTGGTCTTGCACTACGAGAACACATATGGGCATACATTTTCATCCTATTACAAGTTTGTTGACTTGGCGGCAGAAAGTAAAGCACACTATAAAGATGTCTTAATGCCTTACTTGAGGAGGGTCATCTATTAATGCACAGCCCAACCTAAAAGTCTTACATTAAACTCTGGTGGTACCCACTGGCTGCCTTTAAATGGATACTGAAGAGCAAAGGCAAGCAGCCTTGGTTATACACAAGAACCACTTGGAGCTTATAAAAAAAATGCAGGTACTTGGGTCCATCCCCAAGATTTCTGATCCAGTTGGTATATAAACAAACAAAACCCAACAACAATGAAAATAAAGGCAATTCTAATGCGCCATGATTGAGAAGCATAGTTAAGAGAGTCCCAACACCATTGCAAGGATAATGCGTACTTCGTTTTTGGATAGTAGGACAAAGACCATCCTTAGTTCATTTTTCCAGGGGCAGGCGGGAGGGTGGCTGAGAAGCTGCCAGAGCTCTCTGGGAAGTGACAGCATTCTCTGAGCAGCATCTTTATAGGGAGTATTCTATGAGTGATGGAGCCTTAAGATACTAAAAATTTTCTGTGTTAAAGCCCATGGAAGTAGATAATTGAACAACAAATTACATAATGCTAATCTTGAAGTTGAGTCTGTAAACTGTGGCAACATTATACACATTTGAGCATTTTGAGCAAAAGTTCATTAAAAGAGGCTGACTGGCTCAGCTTCACTTCAATCACCCAATCATTGCAGGTCATTAGAAAGAGAAAGGAGAATATGACTGCGATATCCCAACCACCCAATCACTGTAAGTCATTAGAAACAGACAGGAGAATTCTGAAGTTAGAAATGGCAAATTACTTCTCTTGGAAATTAATCTACTTAAGCCAGTGTATTTTTTTCCCCACTCCTCCCTCCCCATTTCCTTGATTGGCTGAATTTTTGTCCTTTTAATAAAAGTGCTTTTTTTCTTGTATCTTGTGTGTTTTTCAAAACCATGTCTGTCCTCTATTGTATTTTTAATCTTTTGCTATGACATTCTATGGCTTCTTCATTAATCATGTATCTTCTAGTCTTTTCATCTTTATATACCTCACTTTTCCCATGTTTTTTTTCCCCCTTTCCTTAACACGAGAATAGAAAGTCCTTCCTCTTTATTTTGCCCAGTTTTGATTTATGTTTGGTTGCCAACCCTGCTTTTGATTCTCGACCTCTCATTTTTGCTAACTGCCCTTCCTTAACCTTCTGTTGATGTTTTATTCCTATCAGTTCTGTCAATGCTCACACCCATTTCTTTCCTTTCCATCTATCTCTGTATCTCCATATGCATTTTTATGATCCTACTACTAAATGCTGAAAGATATATGTGTGTGGAATAGAACAGTACTTTAGTCCACGCGAATCCTATTTCCCTGTCCACCCACAGCTACTTCTTGTCTATTCATCCTTTCCAGATGTTGCCCTGTCCCACTCCCATCTGTACCCTTCTTCCCAGTTTGAAGCCCATCTTCTTTCTAACCCCGTTTGCACCCGTCTGATTTTACAGCCAAGGATCTCAACAAGATAAAGGATGCAGAGTTCTACTGGGAACCAGGCTGTGTGTGTTTCAGAAACTTTTGCGCGTTTACTGAAATGGGATTAGGTATTTGGATACAGAAACACTCTTGGGCAGCCTTTCAGCCCTGGCACAGCTTTGTACACCTTGGAGCGAGCTGGGGCCTATTCTAACCGGCAAGGACAGGGAAGTCTTTCAAGACCTTCTCCGGCCTTTTCCACTCCAGGAGTCAGGATGAATAGGCATCACCGACCCAAACTGTTAAACCAGGCCGGGTGGGGAAACCTGGGGCCCTCTTCTGCGGCAGATCTGGCGGGGTGTCCATGGCGCCGCGTGGCTCCGTGCGAGGAGGGGTTGGGGTACGAGCCGCTGCGGCTGCAGGAGTCACCGGGTCTCTTTGGGAGGTCCGCTCACCTCTCATAGAGGAGGCCGACCTCAGCCCAGGTACTCCCCTGGGGAGCAGGGCGCGGCCCGGGCGCCGCCACAGCAGCGGCGCCGAGGGCCAGAGGTGCAGTGTCCCCCCAGGAGGGAAGGCGAGTCGCTCTCGGCGGCTCAGCCAGAAGGTCGAGGGAACAGCGCTGGTGTCCCTCGTCAGCCGGCCCTCCGGGAACTGGGCAGGGGCGACACCCCAGGGAGTAGGGCTGAGGAGGGCAGAAATCAATCGTGGGTACCGGCGCGAGGTCACGTACAGAAGAGGAGCGAAAGAGGGGCTGGTGGGGGCCCCAGGACGTCTGGGGCCGTTGCTCTGTCTGTGGACTCGGCGGGCGCCCCGAAGTCTGGGGCCGCCACGGCTCCAGCTCCGCCGGCTCCGGCCGGAGACTCCAGGCCGCAGTTTCTCCTCCTCCCGGCGCCTTCTCTCCAGTGAGGAGCCGAGCGCGGGCGGCGCGGGGGGAGGGGTGGCAGCGGAGAGAACAGCCAGTTGTTTAAAATCCTTCTAGAGCAGTTTCTAATTCCCCCCTTGCGCCCGGGTTCGGAGGGGGGAGGGGGGAAGGAGAGCGGGTGGAGGGAGGAGAGCGGAGAGGGAAGGAGGGAGGGAGGGAACCGGGGAGGGAGGGAAGGAGGGAGGAGACTGCCGCTGAGGCTGTAGCCGCCACCGCGCGCTTCGGCAGGCCGGAGGGAGGGGGAGGCCTGTCAGTCTCGCGCGTTGCCTGGGCGAAGGGGGCGGAGCTTTGGCGTGGGGCGGCCAATAGTGGGGGTGGCTGCGTGGGTCGCCATGGGGACGGGGCTGTTCCCGGGGAGGCTGTGATGGGTTGACAGGTGCGTGACAGTGGGAGCTGCTCTCGGCACAAGCATGTACGGCAAAGGCAAGAGTAACAGCAGCGCCGTCCCGTCCGACAGCCAGGCCCGGGAGAAGTAAGTGTCTCCGCTTCTCACCCACCTCCGCCTTCACACGCGCGCACACTCACGCACGCACTCGCACACTCTGGGAGACACAGACACTCTCCGCCCGGGGACGCCGGGGGTGGGCTGGCAGGGGGAGGGGTGCCGCGGTGGGGGCGTGTGGTGCGGGGAGCCGCGCTTTTCCCGGAGGTGCGGGCGTGGGGCGGACGGCCGCAGGGGGCTGTCCGCAGGAGGGAGCGGGTGTGTTGAGGGGCGGCGGTGGTGCTGGTGGTGTGGATGGAAACTTGTTTGGGTGATTGAGGGAAATAACCCGCGGGTTCACCTTCCAAAGTAACTTTCGAGCTGGGGTCCGGGGCTCCGGGGACCCGAGGAGCCGCCGGGGGTGGCGGCAGGGGCAGCTGCGTGGAGGAAGGCGCGCGGTGGGAATGTGGGTGTTTGGCGGGCCGGCCGGGGTCGGGGCCGGGGTCGGGGCCGGGGTCGCGCGGGCGGCGCGGGGATCGCGGCGGCGGGGGCCCGGGCGCTGGGGCTCGGGGCGGCGAGCGCGGTGCGAGGCGAGGGCGGCGGTGCCGGGCGCGCGGCGGGCGGAAGCCGGGCGTGGAGCGGCCGAGCGGGGCCCCGCGGGGCGCGGAGACGCGCGCGGGGCGCAGAGGGCGTGTGCGGGTGTGGGCCGGGTGGGCGTCCGGGCTTTCCTGGGCTAGGGACGGACTCAGCGTCCGCAGTCCCCTGCGCGGCGCGGAGCTGGGGTGGAGGCGGGTGGGCGCCAGAGACGCCGCTGAAGTTTGGGAGTCGGAGAGGGACAGAGTTCCCGGGGAGCCAAACTGTGCTGGCGTGGAGCGGGGTCTGTTGGAGGAGGCCGGCGTTTCTGCCTCTCGCAGCAGACCCAACTCCGCGGCGGCGGCGGGCGAACTTTTTGTGAGGCTGGCAGCCCCCGAGCGGCGGGAGGGGCGGACCCGGCGGGGCGGTGGTCGGGGGCGCGCGGAGGGGAGGTGTGGGAGCCGCCGGGGGCGCCAAGGAGGGTAGCTGCGGCGGGGTGGGGCAGTGGTCCGAAAAGGGGTTTGTGGGAGGGGAGATGCGTTCAGGTGGGAAGGAGCCGCTTGGTTGCAGTTGTGGGGAGATACAGGTGTTAACTTCGGTGGGAGCCCAGGAGGCGGCTGGCGAGAACAGAGCCCCTCCCTGCCCGGGTTGCCACTGTCACGGCACACTGCAAAGCAGAGCGGTTTGCTGCTATTCTTGTGTACTTGTAACGGTGATTTGGTTGTTACTAAAAATGAGAACGAATAGTGACTGTGACCACTGAGGAAGAACCCCCCTTTTTTTTTTTTTTTTTTTTTTAAACTATGCAGCAGATTAAACAGTGATTCCCAGTAACCACTTAAACTCTGAGGGTCAGGGTTATCCGTGTCATTGAACGCACCCCGTCTTTCTGAGAGGGGTTCAGACAAGGCGAAAAGTCTGAGAGCATCTCCCAAAGGTACTTTGGTTACCTTGCGCACAGAAATAGCTGCATAAATGAAAACCGAATGCGGAGGCTACTGAGTTTTCCTCCTTGCTTTAGGCAGTTAGTCTCCCCCTGAAAGTTTCGTGTGCCCTAGGGATGGGAACATTTCCTAATCTTTGTGTTGGCAGCAACACACTCAATTCCCATAGGATTTAGAGGTATCAGGCCTTGATGTAGCGTAGCAAAGCAAAACAAAACAAACAAAACAAAAAAAATTGGAGAGGCTGGTTTGTTTTTTTCCAAGAGATATTTTCTGAGCTACATTCAGGATCTTGTTGCTGTGGCAAGGAATATGTAAAAGACGTAGCGTTATAGCCTGGTAAAGAAACGGCAGTTACTAGAATTGAAGTTTTGAAATGCAGTCTCATTCGTGTGCAGTAATCATTTTGTTATAATGTGTCTGATAAAAACACATGAAGGAAGACGTTTTAATGATTACAGAATATTTGAACTTCACATTAGAGTGAAGGAATTGAAATGTATTGGGGTATGATCTTATTTTGGGGGTGACTGAATTTGAAAATCAAAGTAATTTTAGATTTTAGGTGAACTCCCAGGAAGGGGTGAACGTTAGCCAAATCCCACTCAGTATCCTGATGACTTCTTATATTTTTTTAAGTTTCTCAGATAATAACCAGGAAGTTGGAACTTGTATAACTGTAGTCCTCTTTAGCTCTAATTCTGTGATTTCCCATCAGGAAAACCAATAATTGCCACTTTGCTGTCAAATATACCAAATTGAACACCAAGTAACATCTACTCTTGTGAGCAGATGAGGGTTCTGCTAGATGGTGCTATTTGATTTAAATATATTTCTTCCATTCATTTCAATTTGCAGCAGGAATTCTTGACTGGTTTGCCTTATGAACTAAATATAGGTGAAGAGGCCGCTTTTGAAGAATTGACAATGACTGTTCTGGGTTGTCATTGCATTAATTTCTAGTTGAATGTTGTTTGAATCTAAGATAAACATCGAGATAGGTTCTGTCTTACAGAATAAACTTAATTTCATTTTGGTAGGAGAGTTGATCTAATCCTCCCTGTTTTTCTCTTTATGTTTACTTGGGACTTTAATGCCACTATTCTGCAACAATGTACTCACATCTGAAGATAGGAATCTTGAAGTCATCATTAAAATGGATGTCACCAAATTTTTGTTCTTAATTTTTACAGTAGCAGATTATAAAAGGTGAAGAATTCTCCTTAATAAGCTCATTAGAACTGTTCTTATCTTAAAAAAATCACAGAACTAATTTGTTTCCGTAACAAATATGTACATTTTAACAAAAACATTCTGCAAAAGGAGTCATTATTATAAATAATGGCATGCATAGGAAATAAGCACATTGGTTTTATAATCTATCAAGAAATGTGTTTTCTAACATGAGTTCATGGTGTTTAGTTGACATGTGCTTACCTGTATGAGGTCTTTGTTTTGTCTTTCCTTAGGAGGTCACTATATGAAATATTTGAAGTGAATTCTTGGTTTTACACAGTTTCTATGATTTCAGTATACACTTCTGAACATAAAAATGACCAGGGTAAGATTAGTTACTATTTCATTTTAAGAAAAGCAGATCGTCTTAATTATAGAGGGACTGATTGAAAACCCATGGAGGGAGGTGGGATGTAGAAATTTTAATTCTGATCTTGTTAGGTCATTTCTTCCTTTAGCAGACTTTCTTTGTAACACTAATTGCAAGTGTAATTAAATAACTGTAATTGGATGTTTAATATCTAGTATTTCCTAAAATGTAAGTTTCTTGAGGGTAGGGGATAATCTAATTTCTTCCCTACGGTATCTTGGACATTGAGGTGCCTTCTAATATCAACACATTGATAAATTGTTATTGAAGATGTTAGACTCATAGGATTTTTTTAATGTAAATTTTTTTTCAGTGACCTCCAAACTAAACTTGTAAGTTTAAGTTTCACGTTCTCTAGCTTAGTTGTATTTCAGAAATACCCTCAAACAACAACACATCGAAAATAACTATTATTTGCCATCCTGTGTGCCAGTCACTATGTTCAGTGTTTTATGCATATTTTCTCTAATTCTCCCAACAAATCTACAAGACGGGTGCTTTTTTTTTTCTCCATTAAAGAAATATGAAAACTAAGACCCTGAATGTCTAAAGAACTCACCCATGGATACAATGCCAGAAAATAGGAAAGCTGGGTTTCTAACACTGATTTCTCTAACCTTAGAACCTATGGTTGAAGATGAAAGATATATTTTTCAGTGTACCATATTGTCTTCCTGAACTAGGGTAGGATGCTACAGATTTAGGGAACAGCATTACATAATCAGATGTAACAGACTTTAAAGATTTGATCAAATATGCAGTCTTAACCACTGGTGCACCCTGATGCTTATACCCTTCATTTGGCAGAAGGCACAAGGCACAGAAATTTTAGGAGTGAAAGTTGGAAGCTTAACATAATGAAGAAAACTTTTTTTTTTTTTCAGATTTTTCCCCAGGAATTTTGTTTGATTAGTTGTTTCAAAGTTAAACATAATAGTTGTGAACAATTCCTATATGAAATGTTGCTGAACTTAAAGCCACACAGTATGCCACACTACCGCAGAAAGAGTAACTGACACCTGCAAGTAGATGAGTAGTGATACTAATTTTTTTATTAACTAATTTGATCCTTTATGTAATAGCATAGAAAGATGAATCTGCTAGAAAGCAAAGTTGGACATAAAAGATACACATAGTATACATTGACTTTTATGTAGTAAACTAGCCAGAAACTACAGGAATCAAACTGTATCTAATCTTGAGTTCTGAAAAGTAACTTTGGCTTTTAAATTTTCAATCTTAGTTGAATATACCAAGAAGCAAATACCGTATGCTTATTTCAAAGTAGTTATGGTCTAATGAACATGTAAATGCCACTTCATATAAAAGAGAGTTTATAGGGATTAATATCTGCCAGCATCACCTTTTTCTCCCCTTCTACCATTAAAGTAATTCAAGTATTCCCCCATCATTAATGTACCCTCTGCAAAGAAAAATGATAAACCTTTCTTCCTTTCTGAAGGAATAAGGCAAGAAAAGTAATAGAGATCGCTTCAGAAACTTATTTGACAGCAATTCACACAATTCAGGATTTCCAAAACTGATGAAGGAGTATCTTCCTGGAAATGAAGTTTTGTATAAAAAAATTGCCCCTCCCCCTTTTAATCTCCAGGATGTTCCTCCAAAATACTAAACAACTTGCATCTGAAATGTCATGTTAGCTTTTGATTAATCTTTTTCTGTTGTTTTAGAAGTATCAGGGCCCCCTATTTTTAAGGAACATATCTAAAGAAAGAATGTGGGTAAGATGTTCAGAGTTAAGTTTTAGTATGGTTTATCCAGAGATTTATTGTGGCTAATTTAGAAGTAGTAGTAATATTATAATTGTTTTTCAGAGCTGTGAAAGAAAAAGTTGGAAGTTTTTAGTCTCACACTTTCAGAGCCAGTTTGCCATACAGAACCAACTTAGGATGCAGACAGCATCACTA